CCAAGGTAAAGTCTAATCTGTTTAGTTGCTGCCATCAGGGAGCTTACTATTTAGTTGATGAGAATTCCATCTGTACTATTCCCCAACTCCACTGATAAAAATGTTGAGGAGGATGAGAACAAAGCTAGATCCCTGGTGCTCTTATATGATGTATTATGAAGTCAGGCTAGGTTTGAATGAATGCTATTCTCCTTTCTAAATGTTCACTATCCCTCTGACACCTTTAACTACCCACCCCCCCCGAATTAAAGTCAAGTGTATAGTTGCTGATTCTACTCTTTTCTATTTTTGGAAAAATGCAGACATTTGTCCTGTAGCACCTCCCTTGTTCTCAATACTCTATCAAAGATCACCAGATCTTTGGTTCAGAGCCCATCATTCCTCAATCCTAAAGCCTGATCCAGAAGTCCCAATTCCATTAGGATCATAGATAAATTTGATTTATTGTTATTATTCATAATCTTTCCATGCCTTACTTTCTCCCTTTGATGAAATGAAGTACAGCCAATTTCCAATCGTAGAACCAAAATCACAGATTTCCACACATGATCTGAAATCCTCATTTCAATCTGTATTTTCATGTTCTTCATTTAAACAATGACCAGAGGCCTCATAGTATTATAAAAAGAATACTGAATTTTGAGTCAGAAATACTAGGTTCAAATTCAGGCTCTATTGCTTAATATCTGTGTGACCATTTAATATTTAACTTCTTTGCACCTCAGTTTTTTAATCTGTTGAGGTCAGAGAAGATGGTCTTTGAGGTGTCTTCTGTCTCTAGATCCTATTATCTATGGCCTCTCCAGGTTAAAAAAGGAGTAGGGAAAGTAGGAGCAAAGGATAGATGATACATAGGGTACAAAGATCACCTAATATAATCTCCACTTTCTGTAAAGGAGGAAAGAGGCCCAAAAAGAGGTTAGAGGTTGACAGAGTAAATTAGTAATTCCTAAATATGACCTGATGAGTAGTTTCCTGTCACTGAAGGACTTCTCAGCCTTAGGGACTATAGCTTCTTCGCCCCATAGTTCTGCAGAAGTCACTTTGATTTTCCCTCAGACTTTGCATGGTACTTGGTTTGAACCTCTCTAATAGCCCTACCTGTGGAATATTAGAGTTGTATATGTTTGTTCCTTGTCCTGCACTAGACTCTTAGGGCAGGAAGCATGTGTTATCTAAGGACGCTGCACACAGTAAATACCTAACTGATTAGATTCTCTAAACCCCAGCTGCCTGACTGTGATGAGATCTGTGCTGCTTTGAGGGAAGGCTTATAGAGAGGATGTCACTGGCTGGCTGGGTAAAGCAGGATAGGACCTTAGGCCTGACTCCCACCTGTTTTCCAGGAAGAGGAGGCACTAGTAAGGGACTTGGCACAGATGCCAAGTTGTGACTCTGGCAGGTCTCCTTATCCTTCCCCCTCCTCCTCCTGCAATCCCTGTTTCATGGTACATTGGAAAGAGTACTGCATTTGATTCAGAGGTCCCAAGGTTCAAATCCCACCATGGTCACAAAGTATCTATCTTTGGGCTTACCCCTTAGCCTCTCTTGAACTCAATTCTGCACCTGCAAAATAATGTTTTGGGAGCAAATTAATCTATAAAATGGGGATAATACTTAGATCATCTACTTCCACAAAATTGTTGGATTGTTGAGAAGAAAATGCTTTGTAAGCTTTAAGACACTAAGTCAGTGGGAATCATTACTATTGCCACCTTCTTGCCTTGCTTAGTCATTCATTTCCTGTTTCTCCCTATGTCTTATGGTCCTTCTCACACTGCAGGCCAGCTCTGAGTCATCTTGTCATCTGCTTTACTCCCTCCCACATCCTTCCACCAGTATCCATTGGCCCCCTCTGGTTGAGTGTCACAGTCAGAGGTGTCAGGCAGCAGAGTCCAGATCCTTCCACAGGTGCAGTTGCCTGTGGCCTGTGGAGTATAAGTAAGCTCTTGTTGCCTTGAGATCTCACTAAGGCTGGAGCTATCTGGCAAGTCCAAAGGCTGATTTGACCATCTCAATGTGGGGTTGCAAGGACACAGATAGAATTCCCAATGGAGAAGCTAAGAAGCAAAGGAGTTTCTGCCCTCCATTTTCGTTCTTAGCATTCTGGTTCTGCAGGTGTCTATGCATCTCCTCAGATTGCCTTGGGTTTTTCTTCTCTGTCCCTTATTCCCATCCTGCTCCTCCTCCTGACTTCATTGTTACTTTCTTTGAAAAATTATCATATAATCCTTATATCAGAGATTGTTTCATGATACAAAGGACCTATGTATGTGGCAGAGTCCTTTTTAATTCTATTGGCTGGTAGGCCTGCCCCCGCCCCCTAAGAAACTGGAACAATCTAGGCATGAGGCCTCCTGTATTCTAAGACCCATTTGTAAACACACAGTTCACAGTATTACAAAAGAAAGTTTTACTGAAAAGAGGAAAACAAAAGAGATTCAGCCCCCAGAATGCCTGTTGTTCCTTAAAAACCAAGCCCCAAAATATTAGGGCTCCTTTACCAAAGACCCCACCAAGAGTGCTATCTCATCTCCCTGCTCTGTGTTGGTTTAAGGGAGTGTTTCTCTCTCTCTCTCTCTCTCTCTCTCTCTCTCTCTCTCTCTCTCTCTCTCTGTCTCTCTCTCTCTCTGTCTCTCTCTCTCTCCCTCTTTCTCTCTCTCTCTCTCTCTCTCAGCTCTGTCACATTGCCAGCTACACCCACAACCATATCAATGTTGTAACATACTTTGTTTCCTCCAATTACCAAAGTGGAAGGGGAAAAGGGAATATATTCAGCTTCCCATTGCATTGATAACAATTCCTAAAAAATACTATAACCCAATGTTCAATCAACCTATGAACATAAATGACATAGGGCAGGACTCCTTATTTGACAGTCACTGCTGGGGAAACTGGAAAGCAGCTTAGCAGAAATCCATCTTGTACTCTATATCATAATGAGTTCCAAATGGATAAATTTAAAAAAACCAATTATCAGGGAAAAGAAGCAGGTGCCTTTCCCAGGTATGGCTAGGAGGAAAATTCTTAATCAAATAAGAGATAGTAGTGATCCTAACAGAGGAAAGGGGCAATTTCAACCACAAAAAGTTAAAAAGCTTTTTGTATGTACAAAATAATTGCAGGCAGCATAAGAAGGAAAACTGTCAGTTGAGGAAAAATCTTTGCATCAAATATTGCTGCGAAAAGTCTGATATTCAAGATATGCACATAAATTAGCCAGAGGTCATTCCCTAGTAGGTAAAGTAGTCAGAAGATAAGAAGTTTTCAAAAGAATTGTAAACTATAAATAACCACATTAAAGATTGTTCAAAATCACTTATAAAATAAAATCAAATTGAAACAACTCTGAAGTTTCGCCTCACATCCAGCAAATTGGCAAAGATGGCAAGACTGATATAGACAGTGTTGGCTGGGCTGTGGAAAGACAGGTACAGTAAAGCATCATTGGTCCACAGATTCTGAAAATCATGCAAGTTACTAAGTCCTGTCCATTCTATCATATAGCCATTCCTTTCTCTTTATCCTTATTCCCATCTGCCTTGACTGTTCTAGTATCTCCTCACAAGTCTTTCCATCTTCACTCTCTCCCACTTCCAATCTGCCAAATAAAGCTTTCTTAAGGATAGGGTCAAAAACCTTCAGTGGCTCCCTGTTTCCTCTCAAGTGAAGTGTGCCCTCCTTAACTTATTACAGACTCTCCATAGTCTGGTAGCATCCTGCCTTTCTAACCTTTGTTAATATTATTCCCCTCCACACACTCTACTCTTGAGTAAGAATCTGGACTATTCTCTGCCCGTCCCAACACCAACATTCTCTGAACTCTCACAACTCTTTCCCATTTCTCATAGTATTCCCTATGCCTAGGATACCCTATCTTCCTTTCTTCACTCCCTAAATTCCTGCCCATCCTCTCAAACTTAACTCAAATGCCATCCTTTCCAGGAAGCCTCCTTTTCTTTCTCCCACCCCCTACCCCAACCCCATCATTCTACCTGACATAGGACCTTGCTTTGCACCTCTCTGCTGCCTTTATCATGCATTGTATATTCTAGTTATCTGTGTTTGTATGTTATACACTCCCCCACACACTATTAGATCCATGGGGGCTGGGACCATGCCTTAACTAAATTTGGTATCTCCCCCACGTTAATAGTTCTCTAAACACAGTAGGTACTTAACAAGTCTTTGTTGAGGTTGAGTTCATTTAATTGAGCCTCTGACCATCTGAATTGGATAGGGATTGAAGAGCACATGTAATGCCACTCTGTTTTATCCCCACAGTCCTTTGAGCTGATTAATTCTCCCTCAGGAAAGATCTCCCACTAGTGCAGTTAAAAGGCTATCTTGGATCCTTCTTTCCCCTCCCTTCCTGATTAGGAGCCTGATGAACCAGGAAGTTTCTGTTCCCCCAAGGTTAGGGTAAAGACCTGACCATTAGAAACCATGACTAGAAACTCCCTCTCTCTAGAGACCCATCAGAGCTTGGGGTTGTCATTGAGGATTGAGCTTGCAGAATTAGATTCATAGAGACAGGTTGAAGGATCGTATGATATTGTGGAAGGGCCAATGGACTGGACCTTTTGGGTCTAGGCTCTGCCACTGACTCAGTGTGTGACCTTGGATAAGTCCCTTCCCCTCTCTGAACCTCCATTTCATAGAGAGAATAACACCTTCTCTACCTCTCTTACAAAGGCTGTGAGGGAGGTAGAAGGAAAGCATTTTGTCAACTGTAACATGATAGAGGAGCTTGAGCCCTAGCCCAAGCTTGAGCAGGTTGCATCAGGCCCCAGAGTGTGTAAGGGAAAGGCATTGAATCTCCAGTTTGATTTGACGTACCCACTATGGTAGAGGAATCTGAAAGCACAGTGGTAATGAGGCCCAATCTGGAGGACAGCTGAATTCCAGGTTTTATGTAGAACCTTTTGTTTTCTTTTCAGCTTTGTGAGCTTCTTGCGGCCAATTTGAATGACTCTAATTACTTGTTTGGAAACATACAGGTTGGACAGAAGCAGCAGGGTATGGATTGAAACAATAAAAGGTTAAATTGATGGATGACCAACAAGATAAGGAATCTGCCTCAGAGGACGGAGGAACCAGGCTGATTAATGGGATGAAAGAAAATGGTAAGGGAACCTTATGAACCACCCATCCCCATCACTCCCCAGACCAACTTTTTTTTCACTTCTCACCTTTTAATTCTCACGGGGTTTTTTGTCATCATGCAATGCTGCAGAGCTGAGAGAGGGGATAGGCCAATACTGCTAATTGGACTAGAAGGCCAAGATGTCACTGACTAGAGGCAGCATGGATTTGTGGAAGGATGGTGAGGACTGGCTTTAGCCATTGGAGCTGGATTTGAATCCCAGCTTTGGTATTTACTAGTTGTGTGACCATGGGCAGGTCTTCTCTCTGAGCTTAAGTTTCCACAGCTGAAAAATAGAGATAATAATACTTGCACTAATTTACTTCGTAAGCTTTAAAAACCTATGTAAATGTGAGTAGTTGTTAGGCTGATGGTGTCAACCCTGCCCTGTAACTTCTTTTTCTCCAAATTCATGGAGCTTCTAGGTCCATCTTGGTAGTACTCTTGATTAAAAATTTCCCAAGAAGAGAGAAACATGGGCAACTTTACATTTAGTTTGCAGATAATCCCATGGCCTGTACTCTTATTCTTAGGCAACTTTCAAATAAAGGTTTATTATGGTTCCTCTAAAGGGTATTTATTGGTCCCAAATGAGATAGTACCTTCTCACACACATTGATCCAAATCACTCTTCTACTTACTATCTGTGTGATCTTAGGCAAATTACTTGCCTAAATGGACTAGATGTGCTCTAAAATGCCTTCTGACTTAAAAAAAAACCAAGCTACTTATGTGGTTGTCTGATCTCTTATGTGCTGCTTCCCAACCTATTTGTGCATGCCCAGTTTCTTGGAGAAGCAGAGGATATGTGACCAGCTGCTGAGCCTCCTCATTAAGTTTCCTCTTGACATAATTTGCCCACCCTATTGGTGGGGTTCAGCTCAATTTTCTTTTATTCACTGTCCTGTAGTCCTTAGCAGTTGCATCTCAGAAGATATAGAGAAAGGTGTACCATAAGGGGCAGAAACACATATTTGGATCAGCCCATCAATTCTGGCCTATTCTGGCATGTGATCCATGCAGACAGTCTGATTCAGTAATTGGAGGGGAAGGTAGGAGGAGAATTTGTAATGTAACAGAAGATCTCCTGATGGTCCTGCCCTTTGCTAATTTACTCTATACTCTAGTCAAACAGAATTGATAGCCACCTTGTCAATGGGGATAATTTTTTCCTTGAGAATTTGGTGCAGTTGCTGGGAAATATATTTCGGCCAGCAAAGCAAGTTTGCAGCGTTGGTTTTGTTTGCAAAACAAACCGATGTGTTCGCCATTTCTCATAGTACATACCACATTATACACCGTTAATCCACCACCTCACTGCTAAAAGGAGGGAAGTTTGTTTCATCAGCATTCTGGAGTCAAAATTAATTGTTGCTTTGATATGTGTTTTGATATTTTTTAGTGTCATTTTCCTTTGTTCTTGAGACAATATTGTGATGTTATGTATGTCAACCTCTTAGTTCTTATTTTACTCTGCATCAGTTCATGCAAGTCTTCTCAAGTTTCTCTGAGTTCTTCATAGTTGTTGTTTCTTACAGTACAATAATCTTCTGTTATAGTCATATACCACAATTTGTTCAGCAGTTCCTCAATCAATGGGCACCCATTTTGTTTCCAGTTTTTTTTTTTGCTATTACAAAAAGCACTGCTATAGATCTTTTCATGTATAAGGAACATTTCCCTCTGTCTTTAATCTCCCTAGGCTCAAGGAGGCTGGTTTTGTTTTCTCTTTTGCACAGGAGAGGCCCAAATAGGTTTAGCGATTTGCCCGAGGTCACACAAGTCAAGTTTCTTGACTCCCAATTCACTAGTCTACTTACTCTACCTTTTGAATTGTCTAGGTATGATTATAATTCAAAGATACATTCACCTATATGGACTTTAGAAACCATATAGTCCCACTTCCTTGTTTTACGATTGAGAGATCTAAGGCCTAGAAGAGGTCAAGATCATAGCCAGTAAGTGGCTCTCATTACCTGGGATACTCTCTGAACTCCTCTCCATTTATTCAAATCTTCCATAACCTTCAGGGACTATTTCAAGTCCTACTCCAGTTCATTTCAATGAACATGTATGTGCAAGGCTCAATGCTGGATGTTGGCAATTCAAAGATAGATATGAAATAGATCCTGCTCTCAAGGAACTTATAGTCTAATTGGGAGGGCAAGTACACAAGTAACTCTGATACAAGGGTGAGTCTGATAAGTGCAAAGGAAAAATACAGGCAAAGTGCTATTTGAGAGATCTAGGGGGGGCAGGGAAGGCTATGTGAAGAAGCTAATTTCTGAATTGGGCCTTGAAGAGAGGGAAAGACTTCAAGAGTCAGAGAAATGATCTAGGAGAGACAAGACAAGCAAAGGCAAAGAAACAGGAGAGGGCATGGGGAGAATAGAGACTGGCTAGAATATATAATGCACTAAGTAGAGCAGTCTAAGATAAGTCTAGACATGTAAATTAGAGCCAAATTATGGAGGTCATTGAATGCTAAAAATCAGAGTTTACAACAGGGAGCCACTGAATGTTTTTGAGAAGTGCCTTAGGGACATAGGAGAAGCAGTGACTTACCCTGGGTTAATAGCTAGGTGGCAGAGCAAATACTCAAACCTGGTCTTCTGACTGTAAATCTGTTCATTTTCCCACCATTCACAGCTATCATTTTTTGTACTTTTCTTTTACTCATAACTGCCATCAACAGATGGCAAAATATTAAGCCAAGGACCAATACATGTTTATTCACAAAGATAGGTGCAGGGATTGGACCTGTGATTTCATTGGTATGAGGAACTCCTGGATGAGGCAAACCCTTCTGCCCTACCAATGAGGGGCAGCACTTGCTCTGCAACTTCTAATCTTAAAGAGCAAAGTGAAGTGACTTGTCCTGAGCCACAGGGACTCTATGTGTCTGAAGCAAGACTTGAACCCCAGGGCTTCATGCTTAGCTCTCTAGCCATTACTCTGACTCTAATAAAAGGGGCCAAATGCAGTTTTTGGATTTTTCTCCAACTGCGATTCTGTCTTTCTTCTTAGAGGGACAAAAAGCATTGAAGGGGGCAGCTAGGTGGCGCAGTAGATAGAGCACTGCCCCTGAAGTCAGGAGGACCTGAGTTCAAATCAGGCCTCTGACCAAACACTTGACGCTATCTGTGTGACCCTAGGCAAGTCACTTAACCCCAATTGCCTAAAAAGAAAGGGTTAGGCTGGAAAAGTCATTCAGTGGTCATTCAGTCTTGTCCCCTGCCTCCTCAGACCATCCTTGATAGAAGGGATATTGTTCTTCCAAACTCCAATGATGGCAGTAGTCCAGATTGGACTACTCTGTGTCCCCTATTCTTATTCAGATGGAATGTGAATTCCTGTAGGGGTGGGGAACCTGCAGCCTCAAGGCTACATGTGGCCCTCTAGGTCCTCAAGTGTGGCCCTTTGACTGGATCCAAACTTCACAGAACAAATCCCCTTAATAAAAGGATTTGTTCTGTACAACTTAGACTCAGTCAAAAGGCCCCACTTGAGGACCTAGAAGGCCACATGTGGCCCCGAGGCTGCAGGTTCCCCAACCCTGTTAGAGTGAAGGAGCTGTTTTATCATTGGCTTTGTATCCCTAGCACCAGGTACAAGACACTTAATATCTATTGAACTTGTCATATCGAACTGAATGACTGCTTTTCAGTCACCTATTTAATACTTGACAATCTAGAACAAATTTGGTGGCATGCTGTGCCATGAGGTGGTAGCACCTGAACCGGGTCATGAAGGAAGGGAGGGATTTCAACACATTGGGAGTTTATATTTTATTAAGTAGGTAATGGGGAACCACTTCAGGTTTTTGAGCTAGGAAGTGACATGATCCAGCCTATACATTAAGAAGATTCTTTTGGCAAGTGTGTAGAGGATAGATTAGAGAGGGGAGAGACTGGAGTAAGGGAGACCAGTCAAGAGGCCATTATAATAGTCCATGGGAAAGATAGCAAGGGACTGAGCTAGGATGGTTGCAGTAGGAATAGAAAGAAGAGGACACAGGTTAGAGATGTTACAGAGATAAATTTAACATGACTTGGCTACTATCGGGACAGGGTGGGGGAGACGGAGAGAGAATGTGAATATCAAAGATGGCTCTGTGGTCAGGAGCCTAGGAAGTTGTGAGGGTGGTGGTATACTCAACTGAAGTAGAGAAGTTTTAAGGGAGGTGGGAGAGAATGGTTAAGGGCAAAAGATGATGATTTCCATTACTGGACGTGTTAAAATTGAGGTGCTGGTGTGACATGCAGGTAGTGATGTCTACCAAGCATTTGGAAATGCACTAGCCTTATACCATGGGAGTGAAGTTATGGGAAAAAGGCTCACATTTCAAAAGAACAAGGAAGCCCATCTGACTGTCCCCATCCTGAAATTCTGGCCATGTAATTGTTCAAGAAGATCTAGCTTCCCCTAGAAGAAAATGAAGCTGAGCTTCAATAAGGGCCATATTTTACTATTAGGAGTTTTCAAAGCTAATTTGAATGGCTGTTCTTTAGGACTCTGGTTTCTGCTTTGAGGGATAAAAAAGCTGAGGATGACTGGATTTCTGTAGGTCAAGGAATAGAAAAGTAGATAACCTACTAGAGGGAAGAAAAGGAAACAAAAGGAGCTAAAATCATTAACTGTGTCTCTGTCTTCTTCTGTTTCCATTCTCTTATCCCCCTCCCCCAGGCTCAAATGACCAGGATCTGATGGTGAAGCTGGCAGCGACGACATTGCAGACTCTGACTCTGACACCCAAAGAGACTCTGGCATCTACCCGGGGCCTTCTGCCTCTAACTTCTAAGAAGCCCTGCCTTCCAAGTCCTCCATCTCCCCTGAGACTGACCGATGCACCTGAACATTCTTCTAATGACTCTTCTGTGCATGCCATTGCCCTAACATCTGGTGTAACCAAGGGCCTGAACACATGGTCACTGCCAGGGGACTGTGAGAAAGCTCCACTCACCATCATGGAACCTGGAGGCATGTCGGCCCTTACTGGTGACTGCCTTATGCAGCCAAGTCGGACTTGCCTCGGCTGCTTCATTGAGTCCAAGGATGGAATTGATGCAGAACCAGGTATCAGCTTGAAACCAGGTGATATAAATAGGGATTATGACACCTGTTCTGTCTCTGATATAGGGATTCATTGTATGAACACAGGAGAAACCATGAGATATGGGGATGAGCTGCTTTCTGACCAGCTCCTAAGCTTCCCTCTGCATAAATCTAGGGCAGGAGACAAAAGAGATACAGAGAAATCTGACAGTGACTCAGAGGACCCCACTCAGAAAAATTATTATGAGGGGTTGCTATTGGATAAATGCAATGGTGAGGAAACTCTGCTTTCAAATCCTAATCAGGAATGGGGCTACTTTGAATCTTTCATTAGTGAGAGCAAGATTGAGCTCCTTGACCTCTGCTCAAAAAACGAGCTGTCAGTCAACCTATTTTCAGAGGAGGATGTAGACAACTATATGTTTGACGACGACGATTCGACTCTGGGCAGTGACGTGTGCTCCCTGAAGATCCGATACGAATCCTTCCAGGACAACGTGAGGGACAAGACCAATGTCCTGCAGGATGACGCCCAATTCAACTTTTTCCCCAGTGTTTTCACCAGCTGCTCCAAGCGGGATGCTAAGGGTGGGGGCCTGAAGCGCAGTGGAGACTCCTCCCAGTTCAAAGTCCCTGCAGAGAGCATCATCTGGGGGGAGGAGGAGGAGGAAGAAGAGGAAAAGAAAAGGAGAGACCAGGAAGTTGGAGTCCAGGAGAACCAAGGAGTAGAGGAAGAAGAAAAGGAGTTGGGAGGGGTATCCACCTTAAGTAAACCATGCAAAGGGACCGATGTGGTCAAGTATGTGAATTCCAAGCGGAATCCCTTTCTTGACTCTGCCAACTCTGCAGAGGACTCTGGGGAGTTCAGTGATGACAGCTCCTGCACTGAATCCTCATACGACGCCTTGAAGGAGATTAAGGATTGTAGCCGCTATCTTACCCGTGATTCTCATTCTGGCTCCTCTTCGTCCTCCACCACCATCCAGCAGAACTATGGACTGAGGGCTAAAAGGAAAGTCCGGTACAGTGAAGACTACCTGTATGATGTTGATTCCATAGAAAGTGAGAGGATGTGTGAGAAGAAGGAATGGCAGCCAGATGGGCAGAAGGAGGAGGATGATGATGAGTGGTGCCCCAAGAAGAGGCGGAAAGTACCCCGCAAGGAGCCTCCAGTCATTATCAAATATATTATTATCAATCGGTTCAAGGGTGAGAAGCACATGCTGGTAAAGCTGGGTAAGGTGGATGCCAGTGAGATGACAGTAACATTGAGTGAGGAACTGCTCCGAAAGTATGCCAGGCTGGCCCCACTGAAGGGCTTCTGGCAAGAGAAGCAGCAGAATCGCCTCGATTCCCTTAGATCCACCCTCTGCCACAAGCAAAGTGTCCACCTGAATGGCCTCGAGGCCCCATTCCCACCTCCTCCTCGGAAAAGAAAGTGTAAACTGGCTAACCGGCACAGAATCCAGAGAATCCAAGCCATTGAGCAATCGACGAACAAACAGGGCTCCTTCTCAGCCAGTGGCAGCAAAGAAGATGCAGGCCCGAAAGGCGCACCTCATACAGGGGCTGGAGCTACCTCCAGCTGTGCCAGCGAAGTGCATTTAAATGACATGGCTGGTCCTGACTCAGTGAAGAGCCGATCACAAGACCGAGAGTTCCGGAAAGGGCCAGAGAGGAAAGTGCTGCACAGAATCAAATTTAAAAGCGAGGCGAGGTTAAAATGCAAGAAGAACAAAGCTGTGCAAGAAAGCAGTAAGGCAGCTACTCATCCAGCCCTAGAAGGCCAAGAAGCTGGCTCCAGTCTCAAGAATGAGAACATTCGTAGAGCCCCAGATAGCTCCCATCGATCTGATTGTCAGGAAGATAACACTGCTAAAAATTCTCTCTTCTTACCAGCCACCTGCTCGCCTGACACGCCTCTGCCATCTGCTAATATTGCCACCAGTGTACCGGTTATCCCTGGAGGGTATCTGCAGACGTTGTTAGATGCATCAGATTTATCAAATGCTACTGCCATCTCCTTCTTCACCCACCATCCCCCAGGACAGCATTCTGCTGCCCTTGCCCCACCAGAAAAAACATTCACATGTCTCCAAACTGGCCAGACCTGTGTGCTCTCCCCACCTTCTGAGTCTGAGCTGCAGCACTCACCCCATCCCCTCAAAATGGATGCAAGTTCCTTTGGAAGTGTGTGGCCCAACAAAGCTATGACTAGCCCTCAGGATTTTGTGGCTGATGCCCCAGGAGAGGCAACTGGGGCCCTCTCAGGCAAGTTTGGTGGCTCTGAAGCAATTCCAGCAGGGGATAACCTCTCAGCCACTATGTACAGCTCAATGGGGAGCAGCAAGCACCCATACCCCACTAAATATATGCAGGACAACCAGCTGCCATCCGATGATGCCTATCAGCCATGCCATTTCAATAATGCAGAGGGCTGCTTTCCTTTCCATCGGGGCACGCTTAACACAGACAATGGCCGGCTCATTAGCTTTGATTCTGTGGGCTCGCTGTCAGTCAGCTCAAGCAATTACAGCTCCTTGAGCTTGAAGTCTTGTGAAAAGGAGGGTGACGAGGATATCAATGATGACTTCTTAGCTCACTGCAGCCCCAAGCTGGTTATCCAGCAGAGCATTGATGAGATCACCCCCCTGAAGGAGTCCACTGACCTCCTGGACATCTCTAACTTTACACCAGACAAGTTCCGCCACTCGTCTCTCTCAGAGATGTCCCCACCGGACACCCCTAGCCTTTCCCCACAAATCACAGGCTCAGAGAATGGCAAGACACTAGGGGTGCTTAAGGTGTTCCCAGAGGGCACCCCAGGCCCTTTGGGCAATGGAGAGAAGGTCAAGTGGGACTGTGGCAGCCTTCCACACCAAGATGAGACAGGTGATGGATTTACTTTATGTAACCATCAGTTTCAGTTCCATATGTTCAATGATGAGGACTCTGTGGGCCTACTCCAAAAAAACCCTTGCCTGTCAACATTTAATGAGCCATCTGGTCAAATTAGCACCAGTAGCAAAGTGTCAAAATCGAAAAAGAAAAGTTCACCCAGCAAGGGTGGGGCAACAAACCAAAGCTCTTCCCCAAAAGGCACCAGGAAAAAGACTTCTAAAGCCAACAATAAAGGAATTGAAAAGTCACCCAGCAAAGCCTCCCGCCAGACCCCCAAGTCAACAAGGAAAGGAAAATATGCAGCAGCTATGGCTAATGGTGAGAAAACTCAAGTTGGTATCATCCGAGGATGTGGTCAGCTCAACAGTGCTGCCACGGGAAAGTTGTTGGCAGGATGCGTACACCATGGTAGCCCCACATCCCCTGTGAAGATGACAGGCCACAAGGAGTTCTCTGGGGAGTGGGCAGTGGGGAAGGAAAGTGGCGCAGGCTGGACTGATGTGGGCATGGGCAATGCCAACAGCCTCCTGGATGATGACCAGAGAGAATTCGAAGAACCTTCTAACATTTTGTCCAACATTGCTTCTGGCATGGCTGATGTGCAGAGATTCATGATGGCCTCCATGGAGCCCCTTTGGGGTCCAGTAGGCCATCATGGGGTTCCAAACATATACCGCTCCCCTGAGTCCAACAGCTTGAAGTTAAAAACCCTAAAAATCTTGGCTAGTACACCACAAGAGTCCAAGAAAAAGGCCAACAGTGGCTCACCGGGAGCCAGTAAGAACCACAGGTCGCCCAAGGGTTCAAGCAGAAGCAGTGGGAAAGCAGTTGGAGGTGATCCTGGCCGGGCAAACACAGCAGGGTACAACACAGACATTCACCCTCCTTTCTTGGATAAAAACTATAGTAACCTGAGCACTTTAGGAAATAACGGACCAACACACAAAAAGTTATACCGTCACAAATCCAGCTCAAAAACCCTGAGGGATGAGAATTGTAAGGGAAAACGTCAGGAGCGGGAAGCAGCCCTCAAGGACTCAGCTGGGACATCTACTTTTGAAAAACTGAGGTAATACTGCACCAAAATGGCTCAAATACACCCTTACCTTTCCTACTACCTGCTAAGCCTGCAGTCCCACATTTTTTCCTTCCTCAAAAACAAATTTGCATGAAAGAGACCATCCCCTTTCCCCCTCTCACCTTTTGCAAAATTAAAAAGGAAAAGAAAGGGAAAAAGGGCACCAGATGTACTCATACTTGCAAGCTACCTAGAAAGAATGGGAAAAAAAAACGAAAACAAAAACAAAAAAACAAAAAACTCAAAAAAACCCCCCAAAACAAACAAACAAACAAGATTCTTTTTTCTTGACTCAGCTGGTATTAAACACCAACAAGGCTCCTTTTTTTTCCTCCCCTCCAGTTTTGGCTTCAGTTTTTATTCTTTATTTTCTGAGGGGAGAAAACCCCACAATAATCAGCTGTGCTCTTCTTAATGATTTAGAAAAGGGAAAGACTTCAGGGGGAACCACCTTTTGTAAAAAAAATCCAAGTTTATGAAACACACAAAAGCTAAAATGGCTTCAATGCAAAGGATCTTTAGTTGGACATTTGAAAGCTCATCCCTCACTGAGCTGCATGTGGCCCCCTCTGCTGTTTATAGCTTTGCCTGCATCCTTCAGCATCCGCCACAGCCAAGTTAACATTAATAGATGATCCTGTGGTGGGACATCCATGAAAGCTAACAAGGATGGCATAAAAAGTTTGTTTTTCTGCAGGGAATTCAGACTATGATCTTCTTAAAGCAGAAACAGCATTTTGAGGATTTCCCTGTGCTGGAAGACAAGACTTATTATTCTCTAAAAAAAAAAACATTTGATGTTTGTTTTCTGTTTCTTTCGAAATCTGCCTTGTGGTATGTTGACATGTAAGTGCTGAAATTGAGTTTGACCTTGTGGGAATACTTCTTTAAATGCAAGCCCTAACCTGGGATTCTCTATGAAAAACTTTTAATGAGTCAGACAGTTGTACAGTAGTTGATGCACTATGGCCCAAAAGGAAAACAACAACAAAAACACCAAGTTATTGTGCCAAACTGATGAACAAGTGACTGGACTGGAAACATTTTTCCTTTTTTCTCAGCATTGGGTTATGAGTGTTTGGGGAATTTAGCCCCTTTGATTTAACAAGAAACATTCCAGTGGTCTGCTATTAACCAACCCCTACTTCCTTGGGTAACAGCTGTAGTTCTAGGGGAAAACTGGGTTGTTCATTTACACCAATTTACCAAAACTTATGGACAAGGTTTAACAATGTGCCAAATTGACTGACCTCATTTTCACAGATGCACCCCCACAGTTTACAGCTCAAAAGGATTCTCTCTTACATACACACACACACACACACACACACACACACAAATACACACACACACACACACACACACACACACACACACACACACACACACACTAAACTGCTAAACAAACACTAAAGTCCTGTTTAGAAACAGGACCAAATCGACAAGGCGATGAGATCTTTTTGTTCACTCTCTCCTTGCCGAAGAGTTGAGTTATATTAGAAGAATATAGAAAACACACCAGGTAAGTCCAGTATAAGAACTTGAGTGTACACATTTAAAGAACATTTTTGAAGGAAATGAGACAGCTGCTTTGAAAGTTTCTGTTTTCTAAAAGCAAACTCTGTAGCTGAAGATTATCTAAAGTGCAAAGTTATATTGCTGATCCTTTGTATCTCCGTTTTATATCTTTTCTAAGAACCTGGGGAAAATTCTAAACGTCGGCATCAAGTCTGTGCTGATGAACCAAGTGCGTTGATTGTTGTTTAAAACATTTCATTCTGGTTTGTGTCTTCTCTGGCTTCTATGTTCTTGGAGTATTTAATTTCATAATGCTAATGTCATGTGACTTGTGTTTTGGATTTTATTGAGTATTTTAGTTTGATCATTTATTTCCCTTTGAGTTTATGTCAAAGAACACAGAACAGTCTTGAGGGGATGAGCCAATTAGGGCTGAACAACCTTAATTGGGGGACAAGCATCAAGTGCTGTCCACTCAACCCAGTCCCAAAAGAAACAAAGTCTCTTTGCTTAGTGCCACAGTTCACACATCCACTGATATCAGCCCCTTTTGCCCCTCCAACTAACCCATGCCCCTAATTTAAAATTGATCATCTTTTACTTGCAGTGGAGAGCTTCCATGTCTGATGCATTCTGATCCAAAGTGAGATCATGGGGGTAAAAATACTATGAAAACTACTGAGCACTGTACAGGGATTGTTATTATTCTTATCATCATAATTATTATTTATGCTACTGACCTAGGAGCAAGAGGGCTGGGGTGGTGAGAAAGAGGTAAAGTGGGTGGGAGAGAAAGCTTAGGAGGCAAGAAAAGGACAGTGCAGATTGTGAAAGGGAGAATGTGAGCACGGGTACCTGTAGATAGGGACTAGTTAGTTGTTGCCTTTCTGACACGTTCACATGGAGCTTTGGAAAGGCGCTAGATAAGGTATGGAAGGAGAGTCATTCAGAAGCACTGAATGTCAGAACTGGGAAGGACCTTAGAGATCGCTGAATCCAACTCCCTCATTTTACAGGTGAGGAAACTGAGGTCGAGGGAGAAATGACCTGAGGTTATACCATGAGTCACTGGCAGGGCCAAGACTCAACCCCAAACTTCCTGACTCCTGATCTGGGTTCATGATTCATTTCAACAGTCTGCTCTGTTGACAGCTCTACAGCCAGGAAACACACAGGTAGCAAAATGAACAAAGCCAGCCGTGCCCTCAACATCAACCTTGATTTTCCCTGGACGAGTGGGCAAGGAGCTATTTGAAAGGCCAATGACAGAACTTAGGCTTTGACGGTCAACAAACATTGACTCTGCTGTGTAACTTGGTAACAATGGAATCTTGACACCGAGCGAAGCAGGTCCCTTGCTCCACAACTGCTGTCCAAAAGGGAAAAAAACCAAACTGGAATATGCTCATTCCACCACTGTTAGGCACAGTGTGTGTTGACTGTGCTGAATGCATGGAGGCTGGTTTCTAGAGCTGACCAATTCAAGTTGGTTTAGCAAACTTTTCTTAATTACCTGTTGTGTTCCAAACATTGTATCTCCCCCAGAGAAGAGAGCACAAAGTTTCACTAAGATGCAGCCTCTTCCGTCATGGAGCTCACAATCTGGGAGGAAGATATGACACGAACCCAGATAACTATAGTGCACAATACTATGGACATTAAGAAAATCAAGGGGCTGTATGAGCTTTGATAGAGGAATCATGACCTGTGGAGGTTGGCAAGGAGGCTTCTTGGAAGAGATTGCATTTGAACTGAGCTTCAAAGGATAGGTAGGAAGTAATCAGGTAGAGAGAGGTAGGGAGGACATTCCAAGCAAAAAAGCATGAACAGAGTCATAGAGGTCAGAGAGGTCCAGATGTGATGGGAGTCTGGGAGTGGAGGGTGGTGGGAGGAGGGAGTTTGACATGATTCTGAGTCTGATCCAAACAGACAGTGTTGGAAATTGCTCCATAAGTAGAAAAGATGAGATAAAAAGAAAAGTGGATGGCTGGGGGGGGGAGGGATTCACAGAGAGTTATTGTCAGTTCTACCTTGAAGTGGGGAGGATGAAGGTAGGGGTTGGGGGTAGCAAGAAATCAATAAATGATAAGAATATTTCCATGTCTCAACTTGCTGTTACCAACTCCTTTGGAAAGGGGTATTTTGATGGTATCTCTTGGGAACCAATGAAGGACTTGGTCTAGGGAATAACACCTCTTTCTCTCCTCAAACCACTGACATTTCAAAGCGCCTTTTTATTGGCCTGAAAACCATTGTGTGTCCAAAGGTATGACTGTGACTCAGACTCCTAAGGAAAGACACTGCATCTAACACAAAATGAGGACCTGTACATGGGAGTGAACTGCAGTAGGATTTGGAACATGAGATTGTAGAGCTGGAAGGGACCTTAGAGATAATGTAATAATACAACCCCTTTATTGCACAGCTAGCTAGGTGGCATAGTGGATAGAGTGCTGGACTTGAAGTCAGGGCAGACTTGAGTTCAAATCCTGCTTCAGACACTTCCTAGCTGTGTGACCCTGGGCAAGTCACTTACCCTCTCTCAGCCTCAGCTAACTGATCTGTAAAATGGGGATAATAATAGCACCTACCTCACAGGGTTGTTGTGAGGCTCAAATGAGGTAATAATATATGTAAAGCACTCTGCTAGATGAATTCCAGCTGTCGTCATCATTGTTGCAGAGAGGGTAGCTGAAGCCCAGAGAAGTCCTACAGCTGGTAGGTGGCCATCAGGACTGGAACTGAAATCTAGTGCTCTTTCCATGCAATGCAGCCTATTGTAGTGGGTTGGAGTCGAAGGATGTGGATTAGAATCCTAGCCCTGCTAGTGATCAGTTGCATCACCTTGACCAAATTTCTTCCCTCTCTGGACTGCAGTTTCCTCATATATTATAAAATGTGAGAGGGTTGGCTAAGCTCCTCCAGCTCCAAATCAATGATCCTATGGTCTCAGAGCTCCTCGCTCTCAAGCCTGTGATTCTGTGTGCGGAGCATGTATGTGCATGTATGATATGTGCAGCAGTGAGCCACCGGCAATCTCGAATAGTCTTAGGAAGATCCTGGCTTCTCCCATCTAGGTCCTTGAAGACAGACACACCTCGCGATTCCTGCTAAGAAGTTGCTCACAGCATAAACTGCAGGTGAACCCAAGGGTGGAAAATGTGTTTGGTGACTTCAATGTCAGTTCAGCAGAGAGACACAAATAAAGGTATCGATTGTATTACTTAGATCATAGGGTCATTTATTTCAAGCTGGAAATTGCTTTTGAGATCATCTAGTAACAGAGCAGTGATCTGAACCCAGGTCCTCTGACTTCAGAATCAGCACTCTTTCCAGCCCACCATGAGGAGAATGGAATACCACCTAGCTCTAGCAGAAAACATTTGTGCTCTTCTGCATTCTTGATAAATTCTCCAATTTAAGGGTTGGGGTTGGTTTCCGTTTGGTTTCATTGGTTCATTGAGGCAGGGAAGGCTATACTCCACTGCAAGTATTATTTCCTTTTTTAAGAAAGAAAAGGTGTTTGAACTGTGTTTTGTTTCTTTTGTTTTTCTTGATGAAGCCCATCATTAAGAGTGGCTTACCCCTAGAGGTTCCCAGATATGAATTTCATTAATGGGGACCTCGAACAAGCAGACCAGGCCTTTTAGAAGAGTTTCTCAAACAGGGACCTGAAATAAGGGCAAAAGAAAGAACTTGCATTGGCTTCAGCTGACTTCAATTTGGGAGGCGCCTCATCCCTAGCTGGGGATGGTGTCATTTGGGGGATGATGCTCAGTCTGTCTGCCTAGTACCAAAGCACAAACCCTTTACAGCACTTTCCTGGCTGAGCTGGGCAGCTCCTGATATCACTAAAGGGAACTGGCTGGCTTGAGCCTGGGTTGACATTGGGACCACATGCTCAACCCTTGAGATGTGTGGGGTCCACAGAGCAAGACTGGGGAGGTAGGAGGATGCAAAAAAGCCCATGGGAGGACAAAAATAGTACCGAGTTTGTGGTATTGGCAAGGCTTTCAAAATTGGTATCTCAGGTAAACAAGTGACATTAATGGCAATGGAGAAACAGCCATGGAAGAAAGTCTATCTAGAAGGTGAGGATGGCTACTGAGGCCCAAGATGATGGGGTGGGGGGCTGCCAGACATGTTTTTTAGGCTTTAAATGATGCTTTGTTTAAAAGAGAAGAGAAATGTGTCTTGTTTGAATGACCCTCCCCCTGGATAGCTAGAAAAATGTCAAGTTCTAAAGCACAATGGAAAGGCCGAAGAGAAAGATCAACCCAGAGAGGACTGGGAAACTACTTTGGTCTTTGTCACATAGTGGGAAGGGAAGAAAAAGGGTAGGAAGCAGGGTGGAGGTGGAAGGAGATAGATGCTCTCTTTGAATTGCCTATGGCACACTGGTTGTGCAGTTGTGAGTGTACCATTCCTGCTGTTAACTTCCTTCCATAGAACTTAATGCACCTCTGGAGTAAGTTGTTAATGTTTTATGGTGCTAAAGGAAAGGAAATGATGATTTTCAGCCCTGCTCTGACCCCCTAAGCGTTCAAGGAGATTTAAAAAAAGAACACAACAACCCTTTAATGGCCCTTTTTATGAATGTAACATAAACATTTCTGTTTGACATATGACACTGCAGTTTTACCATGTCTGAAAATTATTTGCCTTTTTTCTTTTAGAAGAAGCTTTATAAATATTCTGTAGAGTCAATTGAAGTGTAATTCTTAAGGATCATTCTAAGACGCCTACAAAATCTTGTATATTTTTAAGTGTGCCAATTTGTAAAATATTTTGTAAGTGTATATTTTTCTTAGGAAAGTGCTGTGAAGTGTCTGTATGTGCGAGGTTTCCTTTTTCCGCACCCCTGGGTGCGAATAAAAGGACATATACTTAAAAGTTCCTGGTTTTAAAAACCAAACTATAAAGAAAAACAATGAAACTTTTGCTGGGAATTTTGTAATAAGAGACATGTTGTGAACGAGTGTAGTGAACAGTGGTGAACTTGCTGTTTTCTAGAACCTCCTTGTAAATTATTCTTGTAATATTCTTGGTTCTCTTGTTCTTGTTGCGAAGGTTTTAAATATTTGTGACCGTATGGTGAAAATGTCATATTGTTAACTTGCTGAGTTTTGTTATATTGTTTATGGAATAAATAAAAACAGTTTAAAATCTTGTTTTAAGATCATGTATGAAGAGATCAAACCATTTTTAATTCATTAAATTCTATCTCCTGAATGTAAAGAACTTCATTGTTCAGAGTACTATGTAGGGAAGAGGGGATGAGTTGGCCACATTCTGGTGGATTTGGACTGGTAGATGAACAAGTGGAACTCTTGTATGATGGTCCACATTGGTTCCAGTTCCTTCACCTGCACAGCTCTAGTCCTCAAAAGCACCTAAGCTGTTGCTTCTTGTGAGTAAGGAATGTTTTGTTCATTGTATTTGTATCCCCAGTGCCTGGCACGCAGTAGGTGCTTAATAAATACTTGTTGATTGGTTGATTGATTTCCTTATGATGTTGATTTATAAGAGTTTTAAAACTGCGGTCTTCTGATTTCTACAGAGTATTTTATTTCTAATTTCTTTGGCATTTTAAGGTTACAGAAGGGACATTAAATTGCACACAATTCCCCTAGTCTCTTCTCCCTTTCACCTCACAGCCACCCCCAGTCCCTGCTTTTATCCCAGCTCTGCCATCTAAGGGACCTTGACCAACTCACCTGACTTCTCTGACCTGTTGTTTTCTCATCCATAAAATGTGGATAATATTATTTGTGCTACTTAACTCTCATGGGTTTTGTGAGGAAAGCACTTTGTATAAAATGAAGAGCTATCAAGCAGCCAGCTAATTAGACTATTTCATCTTCCCCAGCTGACTTCATTGTCTCAATGTTAGAACTCCTGTTGTTTTTCTAGTCCAGGCTAGTCTCGTCAGACACAGACACAACTAGGTGAGTTCTGCCTTCGTGTGCCTTATTTCAACCACCACACAGTGACCCATCCTATTTGGAATAAGATAGGAGCTACTCCTGTTCTCCCACTCAGAGAACTCCAAAAGTATGCCACCCATGTATGAAAGGAGATCTGTCTGCCAGCAAGAGAGATGGAGAAGAACAAGATCCTTCCTGGGAATCAAACCCTAAGACATGATTTAAAAAATACTTTTCTTGAGGCAGCTAGGTGGCACAGTGGATAGAGCACTGGCCCTGGAATCAGGAGGACCTGAGTTCAAATCTGGCCTCAGACACCTAACATTCACTAGCTGTGTGACCCTGGGCAAGTCACTTAACCGTACTGCCTAGCTTAAACAAAAAGAAAGGAAAAAGATACTTTTCTTATAAAACTTAAAGCTCTCAATAAAGACAAACCATACAGAATTGAACCCCAGGTAAGGTCAGAAAATCTGAATTATTTACATTTCAAAAATAATAGAAACTTTAACAAAATAATAATTAATTCTGTGTCCCGCTTTACACCTCTCTTCAAGCTGCATACGAGGTTTTATTGCCTTGGTTTTTAGAAATATACATATAAACTCAGTTGAATAAATTCAGTTGGAAAGGACCTCAGAGTTCACTTAATCTAACCTATACCCAAACAGAGCAAATCGAGCCAAGCAGAGTAAGTTGAATCTCTCTTGCAAAATCTTTGAAGACACCATTAGCCTCCTGCCAGTTATGCAGGTTCACAAGCGCCGAGTCAACCTCAAATCTTTCTTCTTCACTTTCCATATCCACTTGCTAAAATGAATCAATCCTACCATCACAGGATTTCTCAGACCATCTCCTCTTCACTCCCATGGCCACTTCCCTGGTTCAGATCCATTTTAACTCCTTCCTGTTCTACTGAAATGACCTTCTAATTTGCTTAACTTGAGCTTTTCTCTCTCTCTAAGCCATTCTCACTCAGCTGCCAAAGTGATCACTCCCCTGCCCAAGAAACGTTTTGGGCTCCTCCTTCCTTCTATGATCAAATACAAATTTCCCTGTTTGACATAAATCCTGTAAAACCTGGCTTCAACAGACCTTTCTAAGTTTATAATTTACTCCTTTTTCCATACTCTGTGTTTCTATGAATTTGGCCTTCTTGCTATCCCATACATAACATTCCATCTTCTCTGTTAATTCCTTCACATAGGTTGTCCCTCACATATGGAATGTACTTCCTCTTCTCCATTTCTTAGAATCCCTAGCTTCCTTTAAAACTTATTTCACACTATCCCTACACGACGATTTTCCACATCTCCCTAGCTGTGATTGCCTCTAACAGCTATCTTTAATTAACTTTCCATACATATCACAAATGAATATGAGTCATATAAATATGTGTGTATATACATATATAAATATATTCATATAAATATGTGTGTATTATTCATACTTATGTGTGTATACATGTTCACCCCTCAATAGAACGAAAGGTCCTTGAAGGCAGAGAGACTTTTGTTTTTCTCCTACCTCCTACCTCCATAGATAGGAGGCGCTGCAATTTCACTAATAATCAG